TAACACTTTATTTATGCTCTATTTTGCCTGGTGTGAATCATGGTTGTCACATATAAATGTGGAAGTGTATTTATGCTCAGGGTTTTGTGGGTTTTTTCTTCTTTCTGTGTAATACTTGTAGAGACTCAGTAAATGAAGAATACCAAAATAAAGTTTTTGAAATAATATGTTGCCCATCTGCTTTCCAGAATATTTTTCTACTTATACAGTACAGATGCCAATATTGTTAGAATTTGATAAAAATATTGTCATAATAATTAAGTATCATTTTTCCCTTTTGCAGGAAAGTTCATAATTTATTTTTCACTCCAGGCTTAAATAAGAATGAACCCCTGCAAATCTAAACTTTTTAAGAAAAAAAAAAGACAGCTGAAGTTACACAAATTAAATATCTTTATTTCATTATGGTATGTTTGGGGTTTTTTATTAACTTATAAGTTAATTTTTCCAGAAGAAATCATAACCTGGTTGAAAAATAGTGTATTTTTTTTAATGCCAAGTCATTCTGTTCAAGGGGTTGCTAAGTACCCATCACTTTCAAATTTCAGAATTCAGTATAAAGTTGGTGGAAAATACCAGTAATGAGTATATCATATACCAGAGAATAGTTTAATGAGCTTCAGTCTAGTTAGAAGTTGTGTAATATGGGGGTAACACAAGGCTCAAATGCTAACAACCCACCCTGCCCAGAGTCTAACTTTCTAAAAGTGCTTTTTGAACTGCTAACAAGTAAGAATAGGTGGTAAGAAACAGGGAAATGCATGACTGAATCAATGTTTGCCCATTTCATTTTGGCAGAGTAGCCATTCTGGATTTTACTCAGAAAAATGTAAGTAAAATTTAAAAAAACTCACTTACATGCATTGCTGAATTAAGTCAGGAAGTGCAGGATCAAGTGAGAATTAATTTTAAAGTTTTCCTAGTCTGAAAAAAACCCCCTAGATTTGTATTTAAAATGGACAAAAACATATTTTTTGTTTCCTTTGGCTTTTTCCACTCGAGTAACAAGAAGAAAGCAAGAAATAGATACTGAAATGTTAGATACAGTTAATTCCACTAGCAAGAAAGGTAAGTTATTGCACTTTGATCTTTGACTCTTCGTTTCTTCCACAATTTTCTAAAGGTATGGTTTATTACCTCTGGCAAAATTTTTACTGTATAAATTCCTGTAATTTTATTATAATTAATTGCATGTCCCATTTTCATGTGATGTTTGCTTTTATAGGCACTATATTTTCTTTATTCCTGGTTAGTAAGAGTATGATGATACAAAAAAAAAAAAATGGTCAAAGTAAATACAAGACTGCTGAGAATACTTAAAATTAAAAGGAGATTACAAATTTAAGAAATAAATATGACTATTTAAGTAGCTCAGTAAGCTATACCACATCGGCACATTCACACCTGCACAAGTGTGTGACAGATAAAAGTATGCAAATACACTTGAATAGCAACACATTTTGATTAATATTTCTACATTATGAGCACAAGTATCACTTTGATTATCCTCAGTTATTAAGAAATATGAAAGAAACATCAAATGCACAAATTAGGTCTGTAAGTATGTGAATGATGAGGGAAAAATGTCTTCAATCAGAGTGACCAGTGAGTCTTCCACAGGACTTCTATATACCATATTAAAAGTACATTCACATTTTTCTTTAATATAAATTCGTTTAGCCCTTAAAAGAAATAATTTTTATAAACATTTACACAAGCACTTTTATTTCAAGAAGACGATGCAAAGTGTGAATAGTCTGAAACAATATGGCAAGAAATTTTCAACATTTCTACAGATTTTGTGGAGCCATATAAAAAACAAAGTCAATTGTACTGTAGTTACTCTCCTAAATCAGAGAATGCATTTATTTTCTTTGCTGTACTGATAAGTAAACATTTATTACTTAATAATTATTCAATATGGTAGCACTGATAGTTTACTTTTTTTTTCCAAAGTCCATATGAAGAAATCCTCAAGAAATCCTGAGAGTGAAATGTGATTGAAAATTTGATTTTGATCACTTTTCCCCTCAGGTGTGCTAAACCATCACCTTTTTCAGAGCTGTGCTGAGGAACAGCTTAGAAACAAAGGAAAAACTATCATAATTGAACTCAATAGTATTGAGGAAATTTTATATCAACTATTTATTCCATTAGGATACTAAATGGTAAAATAATTAGGAGGAAAATTATATACTAGTTAAACAGTTATACTAGCCTACTGAAAACAACAATTAATACCTGGAATTCTATGAATCATAAATAAGGAAAAGTCATGTCAGAATTATTTTGATAGTTCTGTCATAAGGGCAAAGTCAACACGGTGAAAAAATCTGGGGTAGAAGTACCTTACTCAAATACCACTGGAGCTTAAAGACTTTGCAATTCATAACTGCTTGTTTTTACATCACTAAAAAAGAGTTAATCTTCACTGAAGTCTCTAAATGCTTTATATCAACTTCAGATTTTTATTTGGAACAAATTTTACGTGTTTTAAGAAGACTTTGCAATTCATAACTGCTTGTTCTTACATCACCAAAAAAGAGTTAATCTGAAGTCTCTAAATGCTTTATATCAGCTTCAGATTTTTATTTGGAACAAATTTTACGTGTTTTAAACCAGATTAAATGGCATTTAGCTGTGTGGTTCAAGCTGAATGTGTTCCCATTAAGCAGTCTTCTTGCTATTTTTTTCTGATTAAGCTGTAGCCATTATAAACCAGTGAAAATAAAACACATTTCCAGTCTAGCCCAGTCCAGATCAGTTAGAGTACTCCATAGTACCAATATCTGTGAAGAGTCTTTGGATTTCCAAGTCCATTTTTGATTTTAAATACACATGAACAACACTGACATGAAAGTCAAATTTTACACGCTTAACTGATTTTACAACTTCCCTGGTAATAAGTCAATAAACTGGTTTATTTTATTCTGAGCACAGAAAGAACATTGTGCAATGACATCATGATTTGACTTTCCCTCACACATCCAAATGGACACTCTGTGGATGAGGTTTTGTATTTAAGAACCAGATCAAAAAAACTCTGTAAACTCATAATGTTTGCCAAGATTATTAGCCCTTTAAATGTAATTTAAATACTATCTGCATCTCTTAGGTATTTAAAACCCAGATAATCAAATCACTTTTAAATGCTTAATCAACAAAGAGAATGACCATAAAATATTCATCACATTTTGTATGAACATTTGGTTCCACTTAGAGCAGAGAGGGCTCTCACAGGTCCAGAAGAGAAGCCACTCTGTTTTTCATGCACTTTTTTATACTTTTCTATCCTGAGGCAAAGTACTGATGTAAAGCATTATTCTTACAGAGTCATATAATAGCAATTATGGGGTTCTGCCTCACAACAGAAGATTTTCTGAGAAAAGCACCTTCTTTACAGCACCACAGGAGATGAAAAACATGCAACTGGCCCACAGAACTCTATTCCAATATTTATTATTCCATTATTTTTCACCATGGCCCTATGTTCTTATAAAATAACTATCACTACTGATCTTGGTAAATATCCAAAGGTCTGAGATCAGTTACATCTTTGATCAGTACATAAAATATACAACTACAATGAATAAGAAGAAGTGATGCAAATTTTAAACTCAAAAAGGAAAAAAAAAAGAACTGAAAGTATTAATGCAAACAAGGCAGCTTGAAACAATGACTTACAGCAATAAGTAGCAGCTATATATAAACCAGATGTGGGCTTCACACAACTTTCAGATTTTGGGGTGTTCATTTTCTTGTTTGGAATTATTTAGAGAAATTAACATTACAACTTTTAAACTATCATGTGATGCAATCTGTAAAGTGCAGTGCAAGGAAATTAGTAAACAAATTAAATTTGGAATGTTTCAAATCCTTATGTTCAAGACATTATATATAGTAAGTACATTTAAAAAAAAGGATTTTTCCCTAAAAGGATAACTTTCTAGAAAAAAATTAAACTAACTTGTTAAAATATTGATTGCAATTTAGTGCTTAATAAGATCATTAAACCTTATCAGTAGGAAAAAAATGTTGATTTGATGTGTTATGTGGAATAATTAACATAATCTAGGCACCTGATATATTACTAAGATACTTGTCTTCAAGAAAACGTATTTTCTATTTTTCAAATTGAAGATGAAATGCCTAAAAAAAAAAAAAGGCAAACAAAAAACCACCTAACAATGACAAATTCCCAAAAAACAAAAAACAAAGCCAAAGAAAACCCAACTACCTAAATTGCTAAGGGGCCAAAGTGGAAAATCTTTCAACAAATTTGAAGACTAAAGCAGACCTAATGTAGGATATCTTTTAAACTACTTTCCTTCCTGACATTATAATTCCAGACTGAGTTCCAACTAATGAGCAGAAACTCACCAAAACTTAGCAATGAAAGTTTGTTTGCAGGAATATAGTTGAGATTTATATGAACTGAAGTGAGGCCAAAGACTAGTGGCAAAATGGAAGGGAAAAAATGAAAACAAACAACCAGATTAATTAATCAGTTGAATCTGAAAGCACAGAAAGTACAAGAGATAGTAATGATGTCCTGTTCATAACACTAATAAAATATTTTAAAACCAGATTTATGTAAATATTAGAAAGTACATTATTAATGAATTAATCTTAAATGAATAAAACAGAAAATGTAGACAAAGAGACAATTTTCATTTGCTTGATTTTTGTCCCAAAAAAAATATTTCACAAGCAAGTTAGGGAAATGAGGTGAATTTGACATTTAGAATTTTAGAATAGAATTAGAATATGGTATTATAATTTCAAAAAAATACTGTACATGTAATTTTGAAAAAAAAAGTTAATATAGTCATGTATTCAGTTGGCAAAATATTAACAGAAACATCACAATCACTCTCAGACTCGTGTTTACAATAATATTTGGGTACATACCTCTAAACACTTTTAATAACAAAAAGTTACATTTTGCTTTTTAGCTTCACAAACATATAAAAAAAGGAACGAAATACTGGTATTCATACCGTCATAAATCCATCCAGCAAACCTGAATCAGGCTTCGGTGGTGCTTGCAAGCGCTCCATAGACCACTTCTCAATGATAGATGACACCTGGGTATTTTCTGTGTTTAGAATTCTGAATCCAGTCATATTTACACCGCTGTACCGATAGGGTTCCACATCCAAGGCAAACAGGTCCTGAAAAAGTCACCATTTTATAAATTCTGTAATACACCGCAATTGCTATTTCAACTGTTGGACCATCTCCCCAGATGAGATGGTAATTTTTCAGTGCCATTTATGTTAGGAAATGTGTTCTGCTTGTCTGGGGCCTGTCTCTGAGAGCAAGCAACGTGGCTGCCCTTATGGTGGGAGTAATCTGATTCTCAGAGGATGAAGACCAGACTTTCAGGAAATGTTAATCCAATTACAGAACTGTATCTACTTAGACTACCTTCTAGGTAGGTTAAAATATTACAATAATTAATACCTAGCATTTTTCAATTTCTACATATTAATATTAATTTCTAGTTCTTGAACTTAACAGAAATTTCAAAACCATCAAATATAAAATAAACTGGACAAAGATTTCCTTGAGCTTTCACTCTCAGTGAAACTTAAAAATGTTAATCTTAGGAGGATAAATTGGTGGAGGAGAATAGGCAGGATGTGGGGGTGGTGGTGAGCAGGGACAAGGAGAAACGTACATGGCTTTAAATTTAATCAAAAGTATTTTTCACTGTCATCAACATACTTCCAAATATGTACATTTCTTTGATTAAGAATTCATCTTTTCAAGAATAGCTTTTGCCAATTTATATGTTTTCAGTATATCTGTATATGTGTCTGTACAGTTAGCCCTCAAATATACAGAGGGGGAAAAATAATTAATAAAAAGTAAACTAATTCAAATTTTAGCTCAAGAAAGTAAATTCAAGGTTATACTAGTGTTTTGATCAAATCTTAAGAAGCAATGTAGAAACAGTACTAGACTTCAGGAAACTCAGGTTTAAGATCAAGTTTTGACTGGGGGAAAAAAAGATGTAATCAAGGTTATACATAATCTATTCTTTCCCTAAAACAGAATTTTAATCTATTGAACATAGAAATTTTCCCCATAATTCATAGGTATTCATTAATCTAATTTTTAACTTAATTTTTGTTGTCAGTTAGCTTTAAGTGTAACACTTGCCTGAATCCATTTTGCTTACTGGCTAGAGCTGAAGAAGATTAAATATTGTACTACAGAAACCCCAAATATAACATCCATTGTTAACATCCCAAAGCCCATTAAAAAATCAACCAGTTATCAATAACTACTCATTTTTAATTCTGTAGCTAGTAATATGATTTACTTTCCTGTTCACAATATTTAAAATATGCAGGTTTCAAAATTCATTTATAATAACTTCACATCCTTTTTGCAAAGAAATAAAACATTTTATTGCAAAGGAAACATTGGACAAAACTAGAACTGTGTTACATCTTTCTGTTTAAAAAATTCTCAGTTTTTACTGTGCAAGAAGTCAGAACCTTGAATGCAATTTTTTAGTCCAAACACATTCATGTTTACATTGGAATGTAATAAATATACACACTATTATTATACATTTATTACAAATGCACACAGGTCAGTATATTAATGAGCCAGTGCATTGCATCCTGAATCAATCAAGAGGAGATTACACAGAAGATTATTATAAACACTGTGACTGGAAAATTTATTTGACAGGACTTTCACCATGTCAGGTAAGAAGCAATTAATATATTAAAACAACTAATTTCTGATGCTGATTCCAGAGCTGCATTGCAAAATCAAAATCTCTGATATGTTTATGCACAGTAAATTATCTCTTGATAATTCCAAGTCAATATAATAGTCTTGTCTCCACAGAAAATACGTTTTAATAAGTAAATAAGAATGACAGAAAATTCTGATTTTTAAATAGAGCTTTAAGAGTGAAAATTCAATGCCAAAGGAAAGCATAGTACTCAAAGAGACAATTTCATCTATGGCAAAAAATTTTAAAAATAAGAAAAAACCTTCAAAACATGTATAATCCATTTTTATGGAGGGAAATCTATTTAGTGAGGGAAATTCTATCGCATGAAATCCTAAATCTATAAGTGACAAAACAATTTACCATTCTAAAATAAGACAGGTATTTGTTCTGGATGTGCCTTGGAACTTTGCAAGTAATTTTGTTTTCTATCCAACAGCTATTTCATGTTAATACTTTACATGAACTTCTGTTTTGTGATTCTGAGGTGGACTCCTACCCAACCACAAAGGATTCACTTTCACAAGAGCTTAAACATGTATGTGACTTTAAACATGGGTCAGTTCAAGCATGGTTTTGCCAAGGCACATCAGTCTCACGTTTGTCTCATGCTTTTCTTTTAAAAAACATCCTGAACTGCAAAAATTGAACGCAAATTCAAGACAGACAAATGTGTGCAGCTCTGGAGACTGTGGTCTCTAGAATAATATTTTATCAATTTTTAAACTGTTTCTTACTTAGGATGTGGTGAGCAGGAGAAAGGTCTTCACATACATGTTTGTTTTGCAAGAGCCTTGACATTTTAAATATTCATTTGTTTCAAATGATAGATCCAAGAATGATCAAATTCCTTCTACGTTACATTTACAGTGGACACCAAAGAATATTGCATAATTCATGCACCTAAGAAGCTCATATGAATTGTTAAATAAAATGCTGCTCAGATTCACACCAAATTATTCATGAATCACATGACAGGGAAGAACCACCTTGTAAAATGTTGAATGAAAAATATGTAATATATGAGTAAATTTTAAAATGTCTTAATCTTCACATACAAACAGCTAAAAACCAAAATGACAAAATGCATAAAATAAACAGTGAATTATGAGTTATACATTTAACCCTCCTTGATAGTTAAAAGCTGCAGTGCTACAGCCAGATGCTTTTTTCAGGTCTATCAGTTTTCAGGACACACTGTTGGACAATAATTAAACCAACCTGATGAGTTTTCCCTGAAAGTAAGAAAACTCAGCAACGAAAATATCTTGCACTTACACCCCACTCCAGAGAGACCTTGTCCACTTTGTTAAGTAATATAATTAGAAAAGTAATGTCTTTGTTGGATGACATCACTATGTTTTCACAAGCTACTTACCAGTGTGGTAAAGATATAGTGATAGTATTCTGTCATCATCCCCATAGCTAAAGCCTTGAAAAAAAATAAACAAAAGATTAATGCTTCTGAGGCCACATAATACATTTTTATCACACTCACATGGCAAATGAAACACTGCAAAAGAACACTAGTAAGATGAGTCTATAGGGCTGGAATTATGCTAAAATTAGGTCAAGCAAGCCATTTCTTAGCAGTTAGAGAAGATTACTGACTATTAAAGGAATTTATGAACCAGATCTTCTGATAGAAAGAATATTATTAGACTGTTTAGTGCAGTAAATGTGAAAGAGACTTGTATTTTTACATAATAATGGATACATTAAGTTACAACACATAATTTGAGTCGACAATATTTTCATTCATTATTGAACCCTTCCTTTAAAATGAATTACCTAATAGGAATTTTTTTCTATTTTGATGAACAATACCATGCATTTAAAAGAAGGACCCAAGCTTATATTATACATGTGCACATTTTTCCAACCATGGAAGAAAATTCTCTTGAGTCAAATTTTGAACAGTAAGAGAGATACTACTTAAATAAAAAAGAACAAATATTCATAGAATCACTTTACAAATTCAGGTATCTCTCAAGTACCTTCCCTGCTTTTGCTATCTATGTAATACGAAGTAGTTTTTGATAAACTGTGCATTTTAATAGTTCATGCTTTCCTCCCAGCTGCATAAAAAAATATTTGTAGATAAAAAACTACATTTCATTATGTTTATTCATTAAGGGCATTTTCTCTAGAAAAGCATTTATATTCATGTTCTGCACAAAAGTTGTCTTAGTATTTTCTTCCTTTCCAGGAACTATCAAAAGAATTCTTTGCCAACTTGCTGCTAGATAGATTCCTTAAAGACACTGAAGACCACAATTATACTACTGTGACAATACCAAAATTTGTAGTAGAAAGATTTGCCAGCATTCTGAATGCTGTGGGAGCCTTTTTATTTGTGACATTGTCTGAAAAATGATGACATTAATAGTCTGTATGATCTTTTCAAAAGAAAAAAATCTAAAACTTATCCAAATATTAGTTGTAAATCAGATCTTATAATATTTTAAAATATTTTAAACAAGATTTTGAGAAAAACAGTACTATCTTCCCAAAAGATGCCTATACTTCTGTATTTACAATTCCACAACAGTATTTAGAACTAAAGTATAGTGTTCCAGTGGCAATTAAACTCTCAAACAGAGGAAAACCACATTCTCATAAGAAATATTGCAGCTTTGTTAGGAACTCTACAGATACAAACACTCTTAGCTTTTATAAGAATTTATTTTTTTAAATAAAACCACAGTGTCTTCCTCTATGTGTAACACATTTGTGGTGACCTACATCATAGCTTCTTCCAATCAAGTCTTTCATACTCCAAAGGATCCCTACACAATATCCTATGCAAGTTCCTTATTCTGCTGTGTAATGATGTTGTCTCTTGTCCAGGTCTTCTTGCTTTCACCTTCTCATTTCTCTAAAGATCTCACTTCTTTTTCCTCTTCAAACATTGTAATTTCTCTGTTCTCATTATTACAGTGCTTCCCTAACCTTTTAAATTATGTATGGCTCCCCTGGTTGCCTGGCCTGGTGATGTAGATAACAATGAGATTCGACTTAATTTGTTTGTCTGATTGATGGGATCTTTTTTTTATTTTACTTTTCATTATGAATTTTTGGCCAGCAAAATGAAGTTGCTGTTTCACTAGGTTCTCAAGGTACTTGGTTTTCTTTATTTTCCACTCGTGTTGTGTTCCACCAGCTTCACTGTTAATCTTTCTAGTCATCCTCCCAAACTGAAACTCCTTGTCCTGTCTCCCAAAATTTACCCCTCCATTATCAGGCAAAAAAATCTGATTAGTCAATAATTCAGAAATGGATGTATAAAGATTTTTTTCAATAATCACTTATAAATACTATATTTGGATTATTAACATTAAATAATAAATATATTCTCAACGCCCCTTGTATTAATTTCAACAGCAAGTGCCCACACTCAGCTTCAAAACTACAAATTTTGAGTGTATTTGAAGTATTGAAGTATAGGACCTGAATGGAAAAGTAAAAATCTACAGATTCTGTATAAAGATCTAAACACTCATAAAAGATTTTTTTTCTGTATCTTCCGTCTGTAATCTTTAGGATGAGCAGTGTGAGTGTGCTTTGATGAAACAGTTCACTATTTGATTTAAAGAGGCTTAATGCTCACTCTTAGGTCCTGGGACATGATTAAAGGTACAATGGTTTTAATTTTGTTCCCATTTCCCTCTATTCATACATGTTTCACAATGTGAAATAAAAGGGTTTTTTCACCTAAAAACTTCTAGGTAGTGTATAACTAATGTATCTCAATGGAGTTATCATTAGTATTGCAGCTCAATATTGCCATCAACACATTTCCCATTTGCATTGTTTAGATTTTAAATATTTAAAATCATTAAATGTACATTCAATGATTTGGTCTAAACAACTAAAATAACTAGGCTGGCTTATGTTTAGAAAAAAACACTAGCAGAGGTTTAAAATTACTAGGAACTATTAAAAGTTTTTTCAATCGATGAACAATAAAGAAAAGAAATAATATTATACATGTAGGCTTACTAGCAATTTTAATTATACCCACAAGAATACCTGTAAGTACCTCTAATGAGACTCATATTTCCAACTCTTAAATACATTTTGTTTTCAATTTAGACCCTACAGTTTTCTAGCAAACATGATATAAACTTGAATTAAAGTCACTAAAAGCTATGCATTAGAAGTGTAGAGTACTGTTTCAGTTTAGTTATTCCTCCTATCCTCTTTATTGGAAGTCATAGCTTAATTAAAAAACTATGGAGAAGATTGTCTCTGAGCCAGTTAAATATTTGGAATTCTGCTGTATCTCACCTACTCATTTAATCTGCACACAATATTTTCAAAGCATCAACCCAAATGTACTTGGGTGTTTTGCAGTTCCATTATTAGTGCAAAGTGAATATGGCGTCAATTCTGTCCTCTCAATGGAAGACATTAATGTGGTCTGTTGGAGCATACTGTTCAGATATCACTATCTGATTAGGAATACACATCCTAGAGGCCTCAAATGAAAACAAATATAAAAATTAATACATACATACATACATAAAGATTTGATGTATAAAACAACATTAATCAAGCATTTAAAACCATGCTTTAAGCATCAATTCTCCAAAGTACTAGTTCTTCATAGCTGAAAGATTAATATGTCTTCACATTCCTCCTGAACATAAATTATTTAAACTCTTTCATTATAAAAGCTTAATTAAAGCACCTACCTTTTGTGTCACCAATAAAATTGCCTCTGAAATCCTTGGCTGATTTTCAGTAAGGCCTGAGTTAAACTGACATACAATTTCCCTGCTTGTTAAATACCATTAGGTCTGGATAATACTTTTATTTATTAGGGATGAAAAAGATTAAGACATCTAAAGCAGAATGAGGATTACCTGTTTCAAGATGCCTGCTGCCATTTCATGGCTACAGTCAAAGATTACATGGAATTCTTTGCCTCTTTTCATCTCCTTTAGCAATGGCTTTGCATCTTTTGTGTCAGCCGGTAACTGACGGATTTTTAGTCTTAGATTGTATCGTGATGGAGCCTTGATGAGCTCTTGTAATCGAATGAGACCTTAAAGAGAACAGGAGTCGGGAAAATTATCAAAACAAGAACCTGAACTGCTAGCAGGAGAACATACTACAAGCATTCAAAGCTTCTGCCACAAAATGCAAAGATTTTTTTCCCTTCTCATTTGGTTGGAACTGATACACAAAAATGTTATTAAAAAGAAATATTAAGAAGTACTGCCAACACTTTAGTACAATGTTTAGATTTTTATCCTTTAATATTAATGGAGAGTAAGGAGCCTCATTTTGGATTACCTTAAGACAGACAAATCTTCCTCTAGCATTATCGTGCAACTGTGACATTCCTCTTCAAAGAACATATTACTCTAATTCAATTAAAGCCATATCCCAGACTAATAGTTTTTAATCAGACTAGACAGTCTCCCAAATAATAAATCAAGTTTACATACAAAGTTGTGAATCATTTCAGCACTGTAGAACACTCTCACAGGAATCTGTTCTCATATTTCTAAACTGAATCTCTTTTCAAGAACAGCAAGAAACAGTAGTAGCTTTATACTACTCTGTCAGTTTTGGAATTAAAACCACTCCAGAACAAAACTTACTGTGCTTTTGGAAGTGACTTTGAAATTAATTTGATTGTATGAAACATTACAGTGATTCATGATGTTCAAGTTTTCTGTATAAGTACTGAGTATTTTTAAGATATCAAATGTTAAAGGGAAGACTAACTGTTATTCCTCGACTGCAAACTGCTCTTTCAAAGCATTCTTTACTCAAAAGGTCAGAGTCCCTAATATGCATGTTTGATGCATATTTTCAGGTGTTACACCAATCACCTTTGTTGCACCTTTGGAGATGGGATGGACAGTTAAGCTGCCAAGAAACTTTGAAATAGGATAGAAAGAAAGGGAAAAGAAATGTTGGGGTTTTTTTCTGCAGCAAGCTTAGATTACAAAATTTTGGTAAACAAATGTAAGAAAATACAAATTGACAGGTCCCTTGATCTATCTCCATTGGTTGCACCAATACAATACAGTTTTGGTCTTTTACTGTAGGTCCAAGATCTGTTACAGAGCGGCAAGAAGTGTTTTCTTGCCTACAGGAGGTTTTGAAGTAAATGTTTTCCAATACCCTAATAAATTAATAGTTTAATTAGTCTGAGAATCACAGAATATTCTGAGTTGAAAGGAACCTGCAAAGACCATCAAGTCTAGCTCTTAACTGAATGATCAATACAGGGGTTGAACCCACAACCTTGGTGCAGTTAGCTCTATGCTCCACCCACAATAACCTCAGGAAACAGCAGTGCATGAAACCCAAGGATTTCAAATCTTCCAAGCTTTGTTCTGTTTCAGAGAATTACCTGAGAACATAAGTCCTTAAAGGTCCTAACTGGGTTGTTCAAGAATTTAAAAAAATTAATTTGTAATCTTCATAAATCTTATCATTATTGGACTACCTCAGAGAAAGAAAAAAATCACACCAAAATTTGAAATGGGAGATTTACAGATGCAGGAACTAGAGCAATTAAAGGCTGACAAGGAGAAAGTTATGATACTGTCTGCCTTCTGGGTTACCTATAGGTCTGATAGAGAAGTGATGAGCAATAAACAAAGGAAGGCAGTACTTTTGTACCGCATTGGAAGGCAGTACCAAAGGTAGAAAGCTACCAAAGAAACCTGAGTGTGAGAATGTGGGGAAGAAATCCTGCAAACGCATATTTCTTCAATGCACTGACTGAACCTCAGTGCTGGGGCAGTACAGATATGCAGGCAGGCACATAAAGTATTTATGCCTTCAATAATTGTCAATTACAATTAGTAGCCTGAGATTTCTCAAAATATATTTTAAGAAAAATTAAATCTGAGACACAATCAAATTCCAGGGTTTTCAAAGCTATGCTTTTTCTCCTGTCCTCATCAATGTGAAATAAAAAGCAACCTTAAACTTTTAATGTGTAATATTTTTCATAGCTTCTACATGTAGCACAATATTTAATTTTAGTACTAGTTAGAGTGAGTACATGCTTCCATTTTTTAAGTCTTTAACATATATATTTTCACCATGTTTCCAACCACCAGTAAAGTTGCAAAGTTGAGATGGATTATGTCATGGAACAAAACATGTTCCACTCTACTAAATGACTCACTTCAGTGGTCCACTTGGCCACCCACGATAAGGAATAAATTCTTTACTGGCGTATGTTCAACAGCTTCCAGCTTGCTGGGCTCTCAACAGGATGATTCTGGAAAACAAAACCCCCTCACTTGCAAGGGAGTGAGGACATGAAACTCTGTGGAGAGTGCTCCGTGTGGGGTGCTGCTGTAAAGGTGTGTCACGGGTGGCAAGTACCACTGCCACAGTGACCCTACAGCTCCTTGCTCCAGAGAAACACCTCACAGAACAAGAAAACATCAGACAGTCCTGAGCACACCTTACTCTGGTACTTTTTGTTTCTCTGGTAAAATGTTGAGAAGCAGGATTTCCCCATTCAGGCATTAGTGGGAGCTGAGATCAGTGGGAACTGATTCCAGTTCTGGATAACACTTCAAAAGCTGGCTCTTTTAAATACTAATTAAAGGCTAGAGGTTTCCTTCTACACTGTATCTACCATTTGGGATGTAGCATTTGTGTTTTTAAAAGTGTGAAAAGAATAAATTAGTTTTACTGAAAAGTAAAACCCACCAAAATAATTTCCTGAAGAACAGAATAATTTATCTAAAACAAAGAAAAAACACCACCACATACAAACAAAACCTTTTCTAGATTAAATATTTATCAGTGAGTCATTATTTGTAACCAAATTAAAAATTAAGCACTGTAAAGATGTAAACCAAAAGAACAAGGTCCTGAATGTAAACTGCAGCCCTTGGGTTCATCTATGGACAATAACTGCTTCCCAACTCCTGGCTGCCACTGATCCTCTCTTCCCCTGAACACCCTAACATCTGGGCTTCTGCAGGAGTAGTTTCTGCGGTAGCAATGGCCAAAAAAGTTCCAGGGGATAAGAACATTAAAGAGTTGAGGGCTAACCAGGCAATACATGTAGGATATAAATTAATTGTGCCCTTAGCTTTATAGTAAAAATCTGTTTGGAGTTCAATCTTTTGCAGCTATCGGATATCATATGTTAAAGGCTTTTTACAGTAAAACTAATGCCTCAGAGTAGCAAAAAATGAGCTCTACCTTATTTAGTCTCTTTAACATTTAGTACTGACTACATCAGGTGAAATCAGACAAATTGTTTGCTTTCATTTTTAGATGTTACCAAAATTTGTTTTATTTTTTTCACTTTCTCCATTTGGATTACTGAGATTCCTAAGACTCGAAGAAGATTGTTTGTTCCTATTATGTGCAGTTTTTCTGTGGGACTCAATTTCTACCCTTCTACCCTTTGTGCATATTGGTCGTTTCAGGTCAAACAAACATATTTACACATTAATTCAAGACTAAGATTCTTGAGCTACTGATAATACCAAAGTTTCATTGCTGTTGTCTGACATCAGAGGAAATGTCATAAGAAGCTGGTTATGCAGGACAAAAGTAACAAGCTGTCATGTACTGAGAAATAAAAGGTTCTGAATAAGTAAGGTACAGTTTCAAAAGGACACATATGTAGCTTATCAGAATAAGAGGTATCAGAACCTCCAATGAAGGGAGGAATATAATGCAAGAACTACAAGGACTATGATGCTAAAACAAAACAAAACAAGTCCCTTCTTCACCATGATTTTGAGGAGATTCAGAATCTTTTTAATTCAACACTTGTGTAGAATAATTTTAAAATAATTGATTTAAAATATAATATGAATTGCAGTTCTCAGATGAAAAGGTGACCTCTTATTTTACTAGGATTTACAAGATCGGAGTGTAAAAAAAAAAACAAAAGAAACAAAAAAAAAAACCCAAAAGAAACCCCAAAAAACAAAACCAAAAAAAACCCTCAAAAACAAAAACAAATTTAAAAACCCAAAACAAACAGAATACAACCATTTGTGTGTATAAGCCCCTAAAAAAAAAGCTATTTTACAACAGTATAGAAATAATAGCTGCATTTTGGGAATGTACTTCCTGCATTTTCTTTCACCAGGGACACCTTTTTCCTGTCCCTTCAAACTCTCAATTCCTTCTTTTAGCAGCTACTGTGATAGAGCCCTACCTCTGAATGGCTGGGAAGAGTGCGGTGTGAGTAACTCTTTTCAGAAGCTGCCATCAATTCATCGTTAAGGAGAATCCTGAAGGAGCAGTTTGTGAGCTCTCCAGCTGGCATCTTCCTCCAAAGAGATCAATCACATTACCTCCTCGACATGTTCAACTTCAACCAGTCCAGGAAGCAAGAACCCCAAGTTTGTTTTAAAACCTGTCTCCAGCTCAGCAGTCTTGCAGGCCATTGCTACGCCACCTGGCCTGCTCATCAAACTATTTATCATTTCCATTAATGCTGCCTTTGTGCTGCACAGGAAGAATGCAAGCAAGTGCACTTTGCAATAGGCTGAACACATCAACCTTTTTCTGTAAGAAAACACTAATGCTCTTTTAAAGGCTACTCCTTATCTTAACCACGTCAAAATTTTCAAAACTAATAATATACTGCTTTGCAGAACCAGAAAGCAGTCTTTCTATTTTTAGCAAGTTGTTTCTTCCTACACTTCTCGGTACTCTTCGCCTTCCCTGACAGCCCCCTGCCCAGTTATTTAGGTTATGTCTCAGAAAAATCTCGTTGCGTATTGGGCTTTGAAAGGGGTATGGGTAGAAGGGAGAAGAATGCTGGTTTATTAGCATTGATAGAATGTTTCACATCAACTGGAACAGTGAATTGCTGCAAAATGACTCACAGAGATCACCCATGAACTCTAACATTTAGTTTTATCATCTTCAACTAACAAAAATAAAAAACAAAAACAAAACCTCTAGTGAAAGGATTAAAAAGAAATTGCACTAGCTGGTAGGGGTTTCTCTAACAGTGGGCTGTTCTGTGTTTGTGCTGCTAATATAGCAACACCATTAAGAAAAGCAAAGAGGAAATAGAGACAAAGGAAA